CTAAGGTCAAAGCGTTCAAAACAAATCACCATCGAGCACTTCGAGAGCAGGAAAGAGATCTCGAGCGGCCACGACGACATCGTTTACGAGACCGTGCTGCTGTGTTTGTTGAAAGTGTCAGTCCTTGGCGTGTCTTTCTCTTTGCCGTTGGCGTTGTCGCTGTCGATGCAGTAGGGGTCTTGAAGAAGGAACCCCTTTCGTTGGGGATGGGCTCGGTGTTCCTTGATTGTTTCAAAGTTTGCCTCGGGTTCTCCGGAGGTTTTCCTCCGGAGATCGAGGTTGAGCTTATGATGGGAAAGGAGGGGCCTCGCTCCTGATTTAGGGTTCCTTAGGTCAAAGCCTCCACTGTACGTTGTCTGACCTCTTTTGCCGTCGGCGGCGGCGTCGGCGCCGGCGCCGGCGGTGGCCGCGATGGCGTGCGGTCGCAGCGGAGCTGTCGATGCTTTGCCTGACCTCTTCTGTCGCCGGCGGCGGCGTTGGCGTCGGCGCCGGCGGTGGCCGCGGCGGCGTGGCGGCCGCAGCGGAGCGGCGCGCGCCAGTGGCGCCGCCGGCAGCGGCGGCGAGGAGGGAGATGCCTGGCCGGGCTGCCAGGAGCGGGCGCCGCCCCGCCCAGGGAGGGGGGCGGCGGCGGTGGTGCCTCCTCCTCCTCCTCCTCCTCCCTCCTCTCATCCTCCTCCTCCTCCTACTCCTCCTATCTCTCCTCCTCCTCCTCCTCCTCCTCCTCCTCCTCCTCCTTCCTCCTCCTGTCCTCCTTCCCTCTCCTCCTTATCCTCTCGTCCTCTTCCTCCTCCTCCTCCTCCTGGTGCCCGGACGCACCTGTCCCCTCTGGCCTCGGGGCTCCGTCGGGAGGATCGAGCTGGCTACGGAAGGAGTGGGTACGATGCCCAGCAGCAGTGCCCATTCCTTCTTTGAAATGGGCTCGCTGTCCGCGCCGCCGCGGACCTTGCTCATTGAAGGCAGCAAGCCGTCTGCCCAACAGCGGCCGCCGTCGGTTTTGGACATACTTGTTATTGGGCATTGTACCGATGATTCCCGTGGGCGTCCAAACTCAAGGGATGGGGGTCAATGCCTCCTAGTTTGGGTCGGAGTAGATGGTGTCGGAGGGTCGCGCCGCATCGCCGATGTATCGCCGACGCGGCTCGAGGTGGTTCCCGACTTTCTCCACGCCGACGTCGCCGATGCATCGCCGACGTCGCCGGTGCACCGCCAATGTATCGGCGATGCATCGCCGATACATCGGTGATGCGGCGCGATCTTCCGACCCCATCTACTCCGACCCGATCTAGGTAGCCTCTACTAATGCAAACGGGGGTCAGCCAGGGCGCCGGAACTTGCAGGATCCTGCAGAGCCAGGGCCGCACTGGCCCTGGTCAGGGCGCAGGATCTTGCAGGATCCTGCAGCGCCAGACTGACCCAGAGTTGGATTGCCCTGGGTCAGTAGCTCCCCGATGGCCTCCTCCTGCTGCCTGAAGGGTCCTCCGCCTCCCCTCTGCGCTGTCTCCCGGCCCCTTCCCAGGGCGCGCCCTGCGACCAGTGTCCCGAGACAGATCCGACCTTGGCGACGACGAGCACCCTCGTCCCCCTCAAGGCCGAAAGGTGCGAAAGGCGAGACGGCAAACTCCCTTCTCCTCCCTCCTCGTCCTCCCCCTCCCTCGCCGCCCCCGCCCCCCCTCGACAGCACGAGGGCGACCTTGAGCGGTCGGGCGTATCCGTCCTCCGCCCCCGCCTCCTCCGCCGCGCGCAGAAGGGGGGCGAGGGGAGGGGGGCGGGCTTCTTGGAAGGAGGCTGCTCCTCAGGAGGCGCGAGCCTTGCCCGTACATGCAGGGCCCGGCGCCTTTACGCAGCAGCCTCCCTCCAGGAAGCCCTCCCCAGCTCCCCCTCCCCCCCCCCCTGTGCGCGCGCGCCGGCAGCCTCCCCCGTCCTCTCCTGCGGGGCCCAAGGGCACACACCACCACCGCCAGCTCCCCCATCCCCTCCCTCTCCCAGGACAGGGGAGAGGAATAGAACGGGAGCGAACACTGACATAAACATATATAAAAAACTCGGAGGTCCGCGCGGATTTCTCGGATCGGCGCTGGACCCCCCTGGCGGCGCCTCCGGCGCCGCCCCTGGCGCGCTCCGCGCGCCAAGGAGGTGGTCCAGCGCCGATCCGAGAAATCCGCGAGGACCTCAGAGTTTGATATGTTTATGTCATTGCTCGTTCCCCTAAAGAGGAGGGTGGAGGAGGGAGGAGGAATCGGCGTGGTGGTGGTGCATATTCTTGGGGCCCGCATCTCCCCCCTCGCCCGACAGGAGGCGGACACCGTCATCCAGAACGACGGACAGGCGATCCCCCTCCCCGCGTGCTGCGCACCCCCCCCCGCCCGCCCGCTTCGCCCTCGCCTGCGTCACGCCTTCGCCGGCGAGTCCGCCGGGAGGGGGGGGCCTCGCCATGGATCCGTGTCGTTGCACCGATCCCTGTCCCCAGCCCCATCCCCGTCCCTCGCAGGAGGAGAGACGTACCCATACCTCGAAGAAGAAGAAGAAGCAGCAACGCCACAAGCATACATTTGTGGTGCTCCGCGCGGGCTTCTTGGATCCGCGCTGGGGCCCCCCTGGCGGCGCCTCTGGCGCCGCCCCTGGCGCGCTCCGTGCAGCAGCGGCATCGGTACTCTTTATCAGGAGGGGAAAACACACACAGACACAAGTAATCGTCGACTCCCAGAACATATGGGAATATATCGGGAATGCTGGGATTTGTGTCTATCTATTTGCGTGCCCCTGGGCCCCTTCACTTCAGTTTCCCCAGTCCAGAGCCCCACCATCCCACGACCCCAGTTAGGGGCATGCCCCTCGATGCCCGAGGGGAACAGTCTGCACCCCATCCTAGGGGGGGGAATTGGCCAGTGGGGCCCAGGCCACGCCGCCAGCGGGGATAGGGATCGGTTACATGATGCCCAATTGAGGGGTACACGCATACATATATATATATATATATATATACATATATATATACATATATACACACACATATATATATATATGTATTTACACATACACATGTGTGGGTGCATATGTATATACATATGTATATATATGTATATACATTATATATTTCTGTTAGTTGTAGATGTGCTAATATATTTATGCTGATCAAACGTTTTACGAAGCTTAACCTTAACCCCCGCTACTATTGTTCATACAAAGTTCCTCCTAAATTTAAAAGACAAGTATGGCAAGATGCTTTCCTAGATCTTCCATAGGGTCGTCCTCCCCCTCTTTCAACAAACCTTGACACTTTACTACTTGCAATTATGTATATAGTATGTTTTGTTACCTACACGTATTTCCCCTCCTTTAAACTATGCAGGATTTGCTTGTTGGGCTTCTGGTAGTTCATTGCCATGCTCATCTATGTCTACTCATAGACAATTGACTAGGTATTTCAATGATTTCAATGATGAGTACATTATTTTCGAATTTCTTTGGCACAATGGGCGTGAACCACGTTTTAAAACTTTGTTCACGAATCCGCTCTTTAATAGCAGCTAAGCAAACGTTGTATTCAGCTTGCTATGGATTCTAGCCTCAGTTATCCGTTCCGACTTAGATATTCCTGCTGATGGCAGCAAATATATTGCCTTATACCTCCTCTTTCCTATTGGCTTTCAAGGAGGTGTGGAGCTGTCGCATAATGTATTGAAGATACATCAGGTAATACCGATGATGATAGGACTGTTGATGGCAGGGGCGATACCGCTCTATGTATTCTACATTGTCAAAAAAGCAGTTGACTTTATACAATGCAACAGCCGATAGATAGAGAGATTGATTATCTGACCGTCGCCGTACTAGCCCAGGGGGCCCAAGAGGCTTGCAGGGTGCTTTTCGGAAACAGTCTTGACCCCTCTTGGGGCCTTTTTGGGGCATCTTGGGGAGCTAGGGTCTGTTGGGGGCCTCTGGTGGGGTCCTTGGTGCCTCTCGGGGGCCGTTTTGGGTCATGGGCCGTCTTGGGCGCCTCTTGGGCCATCTTGGGGCCCTCTTGGGCCGGCGTGGGGGCCTCTTGAGTGCTTCTTGGCCGTCTTGGGGCGATCTGGGGGGCGTCTTGAGCCGTCTTGGAGCTGAACATGTACGCTTTACGCAGGGAATTTGACGATTTTGGACTCTTGGGGCTCCCTTGGGAGGCCTCTTGGGGTGTCTTGGGGCGAAAAGGGGGCCTCTGGGACCGTCTTGGGGCCATCGTGGGCGTCGTACAGCCCTCTTAGCCCAGCTCTGGAAGCCATCAGGAGCCATCTTGGGCCCTCCAGGCGCGCTTGCGAACCAGCGACCCCCAGCGGGACCAAGGTCTAGCCAGATCAGTTTTACATGCGTATATGCATATGTATGTATGTATGTATATATATATATGTATATTTGTATATACCGATATGTATATAGGTATATGTATATGTATATATATAGACAGCCGTATCAATGTTTAGCTATAGTTGTATATGTACGTATATATACACATTGTTTGTTGTTGTTGTTGATGATGATGATGTTGTTGATGTTGTTGTTGTTGTTGTTGTTGTTGTTGTTGTTGTCGTTGTTTGCTTTGTTTGCTCTGCGGGGGGTCCGGGCAGGCTTTTCTCTGACGTGTTCGGACTTTCGTCGGGCGATTGGTGACATTGTTGGGCCTTTTCGGAGGCCTCTCGTCGCCACGTTTTTTTGTTTGTTTCTGCTTGTCCGTCTCTTTTTTTTTTCTCTCTTCTTCCTCTGGAGCTCTGGCTGGCTCGTGGGCCGAGTTTATATGGAGGGTCGCCGTGGCAGAGAGAGGCGCTGGAGGAAATGGGTTCTGGCGCTTTCTAGTACCGCGTTCTTGGTCCCGGGTCTCTGGGCAGCGCCCCTCTGGTTGACCCGAAAGGGGGTCCAGCGAAAAGAGGGTGGCGCAATAGATTTGGTGCAGTAGATCTGTGGGGTTGCAATCGGTTTGGGGCGTGCAATACTTTGTGGTGTGCACATGTATTGCTGGACTTCCGCGTGCAATGCAGTAGTTGCAACACAAGGCAATACAGTTTTCCGGCGCAATACATTTGCAATACAATTGCCTCAAATATATTGCACCAACCCCTTTCAGCTGGCACCTCTTTTGGGTCGACCAAATTCCTGGGCAGTCAAACAGCAACAGGCAACCCGCACAGCAATGAGGAGCAACTTTCCAAGGTTACCCTTGCATCCTTGCCCTGCGGCCCCATCCTTGGCCGAATCCGCTGGCTGCGCAGCGCTTTCAAAGTGTCGACATGGCCTTCCAAGGCCCCTGTGTTACTAGAGAGGCTGACTGTACCAAGAATGAAAAGTTGATCCTGGACAGAGCGCAGAGGTCCAGGATACGATCCCGCCAGGACCCTCTTAATCCGTCGTGCCAAAGGGAGGGGGAGTGGCAGGAATGGCTCTACGGTCGGACCGACGTGTGAGATCGAGGTCGATTCGCTGAGGGTACCTAAGTGTTATTCGTGCTTGTTGGATATTCTTGTGCATCATGGGGGAGGGTACCCTTGGATGTTCTGTGTGTTTTTGCACGCAGAGGGTCTCATGTTCTTGAAGGATGTTCTTCTGTCCTAGGTCCGACCGTATGACGGATGCATTTGCCTGGCGCAGTGGCTGCGAAATGTAGCACGCACGGGTAAAGGATGCAGCGGCGTGATTTGTGCCGGGTTTCCCCAGTACGGACAGGTGGATGGGGTAGGAAGGGTGGCGGTCAGGGTGCAAAGAGAAAGGGGTGGGATGACGGCAGCGGAGTTGGATGCGGGCAGTGCTAGGAATCTTTCTTCCTATGGTGGAGCTCTCTGCCCCAGGCCGTCTTTGGGAACTTGCAGGCCTTTGGCGCCGTCACAGGTTGCTTCCAGCACGACTGCCAGGTGACAGATAAGTTGGCAGTGAGCTCCATTGAGGCTCTGGCTGGGGTGGTTCAAGACCTCTCCACCGTCTTGTTCCTTGCTTGTCCTTCCCTGTCCGTCCTGCCTGTCCTCTGTCCTCTCCGTTGTGTCTGCTCTGTCGTTCGATCCTATCTACCCGTCTCTGTACGTGTGTGTGTGTATGTTTGTGTGTGAGAGAGAGAGTGTGCGAATGTGTTTGTTTGTGTGCGCGTGTTTGATTACGTGTTTGCTTGTGTTATGTGTGTGTGTGCGTGTTTGCATTCGCACCTCCATCTGCTGTTCGCGCTTGAGGACCCTCTGCGCCGACGACATGAGCATGTGCGTGTGTGTGTGTGTGTGTGTGTGCGTTTGCCTGTACAGCGGCTCAGTCTTATGAAAATTGTCACTCCGTCTTACAGCCTTGGGACGTTCTGATCCCTTTAATTGCTGGCGGGTTGCGCGCCCAAGGGTATTCGCACACTACAGTTTCGCGGTACTCGCAGTATTCGGCATTGCTGGCGACGCAGCCTATGCATTTTGCGTTTCACGCTGTCACGCGGCGGCTCCCGCCCATCCCGTCCCCATGCGTCTCCGAGCCGTTGTTGTCCACCCTGCCCATCAGCTTCGTCCGCTAGGTTGGCCACGCTACCCATCTGCTTTGCAGCTTTATTTCTTCTTGCGCTTCACTGTTTCACACCGCTGTTGGGATTTCGTGCATTGCTTGCATGCTGCGGTGCTGCTGCCTGTGAGCCGCGCTATCGACAACGCTCGGTCGCAATCATTGCGCTGCCAGCTGCTGCTCGCGTCCGGGGACCCTTTGGCGCCGCCGGCGTGAAGCATGTGCATGCGATTTGGGCGGCAGCTGCGCTCCACACGCGGCCCAGGAATCGGCCCCGCCTGCCCCACAGCGTCGGCTCTGTCACACCTGCCCCGTCGGCTTCTAATTATCCCTTTCCTTGGCTTCTCTGGCTTTCTCTCCTCATCCTGGTCATTGCTTCTGTAGCTTCTCCTGTCCTCTCACGCCTCCTCATTCGCCTTGTACTTGTTAGTCACTAGTACGACTCATGTCCTCATTCTCATTCTTCCTCCTCCGTCTCCTACTCGCTCTTTATCCTCGTCCTAGTGCGCCGTCATTGGCGACGCGTCCTGGGGTGACTGGTCCCTCTCATCGCCTCCCCCCTCCCCCCCATACCCCCCAAACTCCCGACCTTGTGATTTTCCCGCGACGTGCGGACTCTTGGAGGTCTCAACCCCTCCCCTGGGACTGGCCTTTCGTCCTGAGTCGCTTTGTCGCGGTCCCGGGCCTGGTGCGGGGCCCGCAGAAGCCGAAGGTTGCCGAGTGCCCCCGCCATGACCTCTAGTCGGCCACGTGCGCGAGTGACCTCTCGCCAGGGTGATCTTTGGTGCGGGCACATTGAGGCCCCCAGATGGTTGAACGCGATGCGATAGCAGCTGCTTGCGCGCTCTATTTTGGCCCCGTCGCGCCTTCCCTAAGACCGCGCACAAAATAGCACTCGTGCCCAGGGTCCGTCACTCTTGCGTGTAGCCGTTTAGGAGGCGTCTACAGTCGAGACGCTGAGATGAGAACCTCTTCGGGTTCGGAAAAGGGGTTCGCTGTTTCTTGGGTCGTTCCGTGGCTGTTCCTCTAACCTTTTTCGTGTACCAGGGCTTTCCTGGTGCCAACAAGGGGCCTCGTTCCCTGTTGCGCGTCCCTTCTGACAGTAGCTTGGCTGCACCATCTCTCTCCGCTGCGCGAGCTGCTCCTGCACAACTCTTCGATCCACACTCCCCTAGCCCCGTAACCTACAGGGTGCGGCTTGAATAAGGAACACCTGCTTTTCAGAAGGGGCTCGGTCGTTCCTTGGGTTGGCATGCGCGCCGCTACTTCTTTGGCGGCGCGCCCCCCGGGCGTTCCTTCGGAATTCCTAGATCTACCCAGAGATCAGGCCCTCGTGTATCAGGCCGAATGCTGTACGTCACCGCCCACCAAACCACCCCAACCCAGCCCGGAGGCTTCAATCTGCCCTCCGTTTCCAGTTGGGGGGTGGGGGATCGGGGCACACGGAAAAAAACACATGGAGGCCGTGCCCCCCCCCACCCGAAATTCGGGTCAAGTTCGGGCCCTCGGGTTGGGTTGGGGTGGCCTGGCAGGCAGCCAGTACGGAGAGAGAAACGCCGGGCCCCAGAGCCCCTCGCTTCGGGGCCTCGGCCTGCGCTGCGCGAGAGCGGCGCCCCGAAACGGCCCCCCTCTTGCGCGCGCGGCCGGCACCGGAGGCCTGCCCGCAGCTCTGCCTCTCCCTGCCGGAGTGCCGCTACTGGGTCTGGGGCCGGGAGGACCGGGCCGCGTGCCGCCCGCGGCGCCGCACGTAATGGAGGATGACGATTGATAAATGACCGGGGGTCGTGTTCACGCGGCGGCGCCCGGGATGACGATTAGAAAAAACCGGCCGCGGGCTGGAAAACTATTTTCTTTAATCGTTCTCCTCCAGTCAGAAACTTGTGCAGACATAGCAGACAATTATTTTTCTAATCGTTCCCCCCTCATTTTTTATTGAATCGCTTCGCTCATTCCGCCGGCCCGTGATATGGCATCGCTGGTTTTTGTCTGTGTGTTCGTTGCCCATGTTGCGCTCTTGGGGGCGGGTGTCGTTCGGACGCGTTGCGTGGGGAGTTTTGATGGTGAAGCAGTTCCCTGGGGGTCGTCTCTCGATGGGGCGAAATAGAGTCGTCGTCAAGATGCTTCTTTGGGGGGCCTCTTGGGGTCTGTTGAGAGGCCGTTCGGGGGCGCCTGGGAGACATGTTTGAAGCCTTCTGGGGCTTCTTTTGGGCCTCCTGGGAGTCTCCTGGGGCCTCTTGGCGACATCTTGGGGCCTCTTGGAGGCCTCTTGGGGCCTCTTTGGGACCTCCTGGGCGCCTTCTGGGACGGAGGGCTCCATTTTTGAGTTCTCGGTATCCCTCCTGAGTCCCTCTTGGGCCCGTCTTGGGGCCTCTTGGTCCGTCTTGGGCGGCACTTGGGCCGTCTTGAGGGCTCTCTTGGGTCGTTTCGGCGCCGTCTTGGGAGCTTCGTGGGCCGTCTTGGAGCGGTCTTGGGGGCCTCTTGGGCCGTCTTGGAGCGTCCGGAAGCCGAAAAAGCCAGAACACAAAAAACATCGAAAAAACAAATGAAAATCAACGATTTTGGCCTCTTGGGGCTCTCTTCGGAGGCCTCTTGGAAGGCTCTTGGGGCGTCTTGGAGGCCTCTTGGGCTGTCTTGGGGGCCTTTTGGGCCGTCTTGGGGTCATCTTCGGCGTCTTCGAGCGCTCTTTGGGCGTCTCGGGGGCCTCTTGGGCAGTCTTGGGGGCCTCTTGGGGCACTCTGAGCGCGCTCTGGGGAGCCTGAGAGGCCGCACCCAGAAGGAAAACCATCTCTGAGTAGACTTGGTCGGGCGGCGGTCGGGCGGCGACCGGGCGTTGGTCGGGGTACTTTTCGCCGGGGGACCCCCAGGGGCCGCCCCGCGCGCGCGAACTAGAAATACTGTTAATACTGTTAACCAGTTACCGGAGATCTTAGCACGCCCTGGCCCGTTGGGCCGGCGAATTAATCGTCATCCCGCATTAAGAGTGACCCTTCGCAGGAGTGACCTTTGGTGCTGGCCCACTTTAAAGGGGGTCGGGTGATGTTTCTCGTGGAGTGAGCTCGGCCTCGCGTCGGCACGCGCATCGCGCGATTACGCTCGCATCTGAGCGCGCCGGGTTTGGGCCCACCCCTTGCAATCGACAGCAACGCATACGCGTCGCACCCTACAGCTTGCATTGGTTACCCGGGGGGGAGCCCGTCGACCAGACGGCGCGTTTTCCGGCCCAGGACCAGTCCCGAATTTCAGCCCAAATCTGAAAACGTTTGGCTTGAATGTGTTTGGGTATCTTTGGATATCTTTGAATATCTTGGAATCTGTTTTTTGAACCACTTGGGATCTTTACTACTACAAGTTATCCAACTATATTCAAACATATTCCTCGTTCTCAGATGGGGCCTGTTTTGGCCATGACGCCGGGCCTGGTCAGACGTCATCGCGATGCAACCCGGCAGTGCCAGACCTCCTCGCGGTGGCCCCTGGCAGCGACTGCTTTTGCAGTGCCTTCGAA